CGCCCCCCCCCCCCCTGTCGTCAGAACCCTTTGATTGGAAAGCGCGTTCGCAATTTCTTACCCCGCTACAAGGCTGACGTCGTTTCATTGGTCAGCCGGTTATCGCAGTCGACGCTAACAATAAAAAACACCCACAACACCACCACCACCCGAGGAGACCTCCCGCACGCCAACTCAAGGCCATATCTTGATACCGCGTACAGTGCACCCCCGGGTCCCTGGACAGGACACCACAAAGCACCAACCATCAACCTTTCCCCTCTTCCTACATAGGTCCTTGCGACGCCGTGGGGCGCAATCTCCGGGTGGCGTCTGCGCCCCAGCGGGCGCCGCGCCCGCGGTCCGATCTTCTGCTTCGGACTAGGATCCTCCTGTTCGGCACCCCCGTCTCCTTCCTCGCGCCCGCTGACCTCCATGAGCCTGGCCGCCGGCGGTCTGATCCTCGCCACCTCCGCCGAGGGCGCGCCCCCCCGGCTGTGGGACATGCGCCTGGCTCGGCGGCGGTGGGAGTGGGGGCTGGCCGCGGACGGTGGGGGTCCTTCCGAAGCAGGGGGAGCTCGAGCGTCCGGGCTGAGAGGCACCCCAGCGGGTGGAGGAAGAGGGGGCTCAGCAACAGCAGCAGAAACAGCAGCAGCAGCAGGAGCAGCAGGAGCAGCGGCAGCGGGCAGCACTCGACAGGAGGGTAGCGCCAACGACGCCGACGATCGTGGTGGACGTGTTAACGCGGGTAGGGCGCGGTGCGTCGGGGTTCGGCCGTGGCCGGTGGGAGCCTGGGCGCTCGGAGTCGCCGCGAACGCCGGGAGCGGGAGGCTGATATCGGCGTGCTCCGACGGGTGCATGAGGTAATTCGTTTTTTTTTTTTTGTGTGTGATTTTAGTTACAAGGTCTTTTTTTAAGTACATCGGTGTTGTTCACGCGCAAGGCCAGACACGGCAACAAGAACTCTATTTTTTTTTGTGCTGTACGAGTCATACGCGAGATACGCCTGCCCTGTGTTGTCTCATGGCGGGGACCGATGAGGACTGGGGGTTCCGTTGAATGTTTCTTGGACGTCCGTTTCGTCGGCAGCGACGCCGCTTCAGCGGCGTTTCCGTCTTGGTGGGCATGGCCCCCCCCCTGCCCCCTCCTCTTGGTACATTCTCAGCGACTATTTTGTATCTCGTCGCCGGAGGAATGCATGCGCGTTGGGAGAAGCCTCGCGCACCCCCCAGTTTTCCTACATAACGGAGGAAGCGCGCCCATACCGCAATTTTGTTTCGTAACTTAAGGTTCCTTGCTCTTTGTTAACAAGTGTACAACAACACGAATAGTAAGCGTGTGTGTTGAAAGTCTTGAAGTCTTTGCAGGGAGTAGGGGAGAAACCCTGCTGGATGCTGGGCTTCCTTGTTTTGACTGTACAATTTATACATTTCCTCTCGATGGAAAAGGCACCGCTCATATTCCCGTGCGGTTTATTTATTTGTTCTTTGTTGTTTTAACCCATTGTGTGCAACCGCAGGATCACCCAGCTCCGGCCCAACAACGAGGAGCAGCGTTTACGCACCGCCGTGCTTGCAGCGCGCCAAGCCAAGCAGCAAGCCGCCGCGCGAAGCGGAGGCGCGCCATGAAACGCCACTGCCTACCCCCCCAAGATAGCGGTAGCACGGTCCCCATCCGTTGCTCCTTCTTGCTCGGGGACGGCACCCCGTCCGCCAGGTTCGCCTATGCGTGCACATGTAGCACAACCGATAGCTTGGCATTGTAGCGCCGCTAGATGTCGCCCATAGCGGGAAAGCTGCGGCAACTCGTGGGTTGTCACTCGGCTGGTTATATGTAGGGGGCGAAGCGTGCGCGCTACGTATGCTCCATGGGTTGTAGGCGTGCGCCGTCTCTGAGATCAGCGCCGATGTTTCAAGCCTCGAGTCCACTCCGTAGATGTCTGTGTTTGTTTCTAGGTGCAGAGGCGGATGGATGTCAGAACGTCAAAACTGAGGCACACACCAGCAGTCATTGCGGGGCGTGCGCACGTTTTTCTTTGCGTCGAACGCCCGTGCAACAAACAGCTAATTCGGGAAATGCCCCCAATACGATACATGGACATGATTCGAGTCACAGAACGTGAGCACCACTCAACAACAGTGAACGGGTATTTTTTTTGCTCGAGGCTCGCGTTCTTTTCTTGACGTGTATCCTCTTTGGGGCAACGCGACACGAACATGACATTCTTAGCTGAGCACTTGTCTTTAGACTATTGGTCAACCTGTAAAACTTGTCTCTTTTCTGGAGCCTGAAGTTGTTGACTCAGATTGTTGGCCTTGCTTGTAGAAGTATACAGCAGTAAATAGTGCGTTCTGTGCCTGCTATCATACTTTCATGACAAGGCAGAGCATTGTTACGCACACCATGTCAATTCGCGAGGACAGCGAACGCCACACGTATCCATCCGCGCTCGAGGTTCGCGACACGCGAAACCGGTCGTTGCTGTCTGTGCTTGCTGCAGGCCCGGCTGTTTCGGGAACAGCAGTGGATGCAGAATCAACATCCCAAAGGCGCTTGAAGTGCGGCGGTTGACGCGCGTGGAAAAAAAGAGGAGACAAACTCTGAGATCGCTACACGACAAACGCTGAACATATATTTTAAACATCGAAGGCGAAACAGTAAGACTGAAGCTACAGCATGAAAACAAAACGCTCAAGACACGTACGAACGTGCGGCTGCATCGCGCCATAACGATATCTCAGACGATTCAAAACAAGGTAGCCGCTCTCGCCACGCGACCCCTTCTCTTGCGTCTGATTTTCACCCTTCCAAAGGGTTGGGAACACGCCAACTTGCGTGCATATAATACGTAAGCATATCTACCCCTCCCGATCGACGGGCACATGTATAACATCTCTACATTACATACTTGCTGCGTAGCTTTGACAGCATACACTTGACTTTTGACTTACATATTTCCAACGTCTCCAGAAACAAGCGCCGCTGACCGGAATGGTAAGGGCGCTTGGGAAAAAAAAACAAAAAACATTACAGTTTAACAAAGCCAACACAGCAGTTTCGAGGAAACTAGACGCCGAGAGAGACGTTTTGGGCACGAACACACTTAAAATAATACGCAACTTTTTTCGGCTTCCGCCCCAACGAACGTACACAGATCGACAGATAGATGAATCCTCCCCCCACTCTAGTGGTACACAATACATACCGCGCACCAGAGAATTGCTGAAACGCTCGTAGCGTGCATACAACGCACGAGTACCGGCCAATCCCGGCAAAAGCCCTATGACAACCAGAGCAACCCAATAAATCCAACAGACTAAAAGATTCTCGATGCTACTACTGCTGTAGACCCAAGGGTCTACGATGCCGCCCTCACCCCATGTAAGTACGCCCCCTCCAAGGTCTCAGTGGCCTCATTCACACACTGCTGCTCCAATCTGGTTTCGATACATAAGCGGCCACAAAACCTTCCAACACCACGCATACAGCAGCAGCAGAAGCAGCAGCGGGTGCCCATGCAGCTCGAGAGTAACAAAAAAAAAAACTTCAAAGCATCATCGCAATCGTAGGGAC